AAGAGGATTGGGAAGAAGTGGAGGAAGAAAAAGAGGAAGAAGAGGAGTAAGAGGAGGAGGAGGAGAAGGAGAAGGAAGAAGAAGTAGAAGAAGAAGAAGAAGAGGAGGAGGAGGAGGAGAAGAAGAAGAAGAAAAAGAAGAAGAAGAAGAAGAGGAAAAGGAGGAGGAGGAGGAGGAGGAGGAGGAGGAGGAGGAGGAGGAGGAGGAAGAGGAGGAGGAGGAGGAAGAGGAGGAGGAGGAGGAAAAGAAGAAGAAGGAGAAGGAGAAGAAGAAGAAGAAGAAAATAAGAAACGGAGGAGGAGGAAAAGACGAAGACGGAGACGAAAACGAAGACAAAGAAGAAGAAGAAGAAGGGGAGGAGCAGCAGCAGGAAGAGGAAGAGGAAAAGGAGGAGAGAGAGGATGAGGCAGATGAATAAAAGGTCTGTGTGTACGTGATCTTCTGCGTGTGTCCGTACATACGCATTCCCTACTTCTGTTTTATCCTCCTCATCACATTCCATCTTCTTCTCTCTTCCTTTCCCTCTCCCTGTTTCTCCTTCCATCACAACCAGCTCCTTCCTTCCCAATTTTCCACACTTAAATATTCCTTCGTCCTTCGATACCGCATCAACCTCAAACTCCAAATTGGAAAATCAAGAGAGAGAGACAGAGAAAAAAAAGTAATATCTGTAATCAATAAACGACATTGTATAAATGGCCATAAATATCCCTTCTCGTTACAAAAATAAACGTACATCGTGTCGTTTATTTTCCGAACACACTTACATTGAGGCTGATTCTCTCACAAGCTCGCAGAGGAGAGAGGACGCTAGGAGACAGAGGGAGATTAAGGAAGAGAGAGCGTAGAAGAGAGGAGAGATAAGCAGATAAGAAGAGAAATAAGAGGTAAGAGGATGGAGAAGAGAGAGAAGGAGGCGTAAGAAGAAGAGGACATTGGGGAAGAGAGAAGGAAAGGAAGAGGAGAAGAGAAAGGTGTAAGAGGAAAGAGAAGAGGAGAGGTAAGAGGAAAAGGAAAAGAGAAAGTGCAAAGGAGAAAAAAAAGCGAAGAGGACAAAGAGAAGGCAGAGAAAACAACGAGGAATAATGATTTTTAAAACATACATAATAAAAGAACAGAAATAACAGAAATTAAACGGGTTGCAGAGAAAGAGAGGAGAAAAGGCAATAAGAAGAGAGAAAAGAAGATAAAGAAATGTAATAATCAGAATAAACCCCCTTTTCACTAGCTCGCTTCGAAACCTCTCTCGAAAAATACTTCGAAGCACAGGTCGAAACGCCAAAGGTAAGTCAAATATTTCTCACTCACTGTTTCTGTTTCTGTTCTGTTTGTTTGGATATTTCTCTATGTTTTCGTTAACTGGGATAAAACTTATGTGAGTGGCAATTGGACAATATGTAGTATAAAGTAGCAGCAGAGTTGGGTAATAAAACCTACATGAAATGATACAACACAACAAACCAAGACAAAGTTTTAAGGCAATATGTGTGTAAATGCTCCCCAAGGGTGCTAGGCATATATATTACCACGGGGGTCCAGGCTAGGGAATATATACCACGGTGTAAGGTTAGGTTGGGTGTTGGGTTAGGACGTTATGTTTAACACCATAATTTCCCTGATATACTTCATGCCCTCCCCTGCTATTGGGACTATCAAATCAAGATTGTCGATGGAGATGGTGATCATATCTCCTCAACGATTCATTTGCACAAGGAACAATGCTCTAGAATCATTGAAAGCAGTGGATTTCATGCAGAAATATATCAAAATTGTATCGAAAGTAACCCACTACCCTCTTCTACATACTGACCGGGTGATTTTCTTTTTCTTTTACGTATAGCATCCTTGGGAAACATTTGCACACATATTGCCATAGAAGAACTTAGTCTTGGTTTGTATTGTTCTATCAGTTGGCTTTATTACCTGACTCTGCCACAACCTTATATTACATATTGACTTGGCGATTTCTTAGTTTCACACAGCCGTCCAACTTTGCAATTGTGATTCCTTGTATCAGTTATTCGCAGTTTAATGTACGTGGTTACTTTGTTTACCATCGTAAACGGCATTAGAGAAAGTATTGGTAATTGCTTACGAAATGAATGCACTCTGTATAATCCAGCCACTACTGGGGATCCACAAACATCGCCATATGACCCCTCTCCCCCCAAAAAAAAAACAAAAAAACAGAAGGGAATTGTTATTATTAATCTCTCTCTTAAACATGGAGACCCCCCCCCCCTCCACCCCACCCTTAACACTACCTGGGGACTTTTGTCGAAAACTATTTCCTTCAATTCTGACGTTATTCTTTGCCTGCGCAGATGTTTTCATGTATCAGTGAGGATAGTTCCCCCCCCCCCTTTTTTTTTACCATAGTGTCATTAGATTTTCTTGTAAATGCATGCCAAAATAATACGTTTTTTTTATTAGCGACTTGCAAAGGTAGTGCCATTGATGAAAAGGATCATATATTCGGTTATTCTGTCTATTTTAGGGAAAATTTACATTACTGTCGGAAATTGAAACTATACCGTTTGCCGTACGATGAAAAAAAGATTTTGATTTTGCGAAACTTTTTTTTATATCTTAAATATCATTATTTTTTCCTTACCACTATTCGGTTGTCTTTTTCTCCTCTTATTTGTACG